GTCCCGTTCAACCATGAGAATGTGATGGAATCCATCCATCAGATCCATGGATCGAATAGATGGTGCTTTTTACCATACTATCTATGAGTGACTGTCATTCCTCGTTATCAGCGTTTGAGCCGGTTATGTTGCAGCGTTCAGTTTGTTGTACGCCTGCACAATCCGCCCCTCTCCTGTGGCTTTTCGCACACACAAGGTCGGAAAGCTGTGTGCGGATGTTGATTCCCTAACATGACCAGCCGCAAAGCGATCGGCGAAGAACTTGTCGATCGCTAGTGACCTGATCACGAGGCAGCGGACACTGCTTCATGACACAGTACTCTATATCGGGTTTCCGTTCGATCTCACGCCGAGTGCCTTTGTCCTTAGGAAGCTCGCATGGCACGGATTCAGGGAAAACATACCTGAACTTCGATTAAAACTTTATGCAAAGGATTTGTCTTCAAAGACTACCGAGATAACGACGTGTATCGCTCAATACGGGTCTTCTTATTGAGGAGATTCTCATCCATCGATGAGCTACTGAGAACCCGTTCGTTCTCGGTAACACATGTGCCGCATAAATATAGGCGACGTTCTCGTCATCTGTGACGAGTACGCGGATCTGCTTGATCTTGTCACTACGCAGATCTCGCAAGAATCTTTTAGATTATAGCGTTGGCTACTTTACTACCTCCGAAGCTGACTTCGGGGTGTAACCAGATCAGGTGTCTAAGCGCCTACACTTGATCCGTCATTTACCAGGACATTCACCGTCTCGGTGATTTCCTGGGAAAATACATCTACAGGTGGTTGGGAAACCACAGCCTCAACATAACTTTCGTTGGGAGTTATCACTCCCAGGAACGCTGGAACTTTCTTTCAATACGTGTTCTAACTGTGGGTGTACTACCACAATCACAACCTCTTCGATCCACTTTCTTTCAGTAGATTGGGTTTGCTTTACGATCGACTCCCTGATAGTCGATCTTGCTTCAACGTGCTGCTGATTTTAAACTACACTCACCTCTATTCTTGGATGTACCCTGCTTGGTGTGCATCCGTGTTCCAGTCCACTCGATCTCTTTGAGTGGTGAACCTTCGGCGCAGCCTGCGTCTATACACAGATGCCGGAAGATGGTTCCACAGTGTAGTGGCCTTCTACACTGTGATCTTGTGCAATCGTACTAGCGATCGTACCACAAGTAAGGCCATCGCACTCACTCGTAGTACATCCACACGCTTGGGGACGATCCATAGACGTTCGTCAGATGGCCATTCGATGAACAAACGGCAGGCATCTTCACGGATCGATGCTGCCAGCTAACCCATGGCTGGTATTTTCTAAGCCGTGGCATTCCTAGGGTGACATCAAATTTGTCATGCAAATCCAGTACGATGAAGTAATCACCGTACTGCTTTCCTTCTAGCGTGTAGTGGATTCATACTACACGCTTGTTCACTGTTACGGATGCGCCTGTAGCAAGGCACACCGTCATCCTCGTTGGATGGAACTCTCGCTTAACATAGTTGAGCCTACTATCTCCTAGCGACTGACGTCGAATAAACTGTTCGACGCACCACAGTCAACCAGGGCGCGAAGTGACATTCCACTTGTCACTTCGATCTTCAAAGTGATTAGAGACTCCTCATCACCAAGGGCAGTAACACACAGAGACTGCGTGCTGGGAGCAATCTTCGTCAAGAGTCCTGCAAATTCTATTGACGTTGCTGGACCAGCAGGATGCTCTGACCCTACTGAACATGACCGTTTTTTGGCGGTCCGACTTGCTGTTGCGGCTTAGCGACATGGTCGGACCCACGCCTTGGACTTTTCCTTGGCCAACGGTGGTCTAACGTCCTGTCTTTGGACGTGTTGCGGTGCTTGGGACACGTCCTGTCTTTGTACGTGTTGCGGTGCTTGGGACACGTCCTGTCTTTGGACGTGTTGCGGTGCTTGGGACACCACTACACTCAGGAGCGTAGTGTCTAACCTTCTGCAAGCTTTTGGCATCTTGCCGTTCGCTTGTGACTCAGAGAGCGAGAGCTCTCGCTCTCGATGTAAGAGAGGTCTATTGGTCGGTACCTCCTGTTTCCTGTCGCCTTGTTGGACGATACTTTGACGAATTAGCCTGAGATTGTATCAGGCTTAAGTCTTCTTGTTCCGCATACGCTATAGCCTTTCCAGCGTATGGAAGTCCTCTCGGAACAGGAAGGTCTTCACCGGCCCATCTACAAGGCCGTAGATGAACACTTTGATGAGTGTGTGCTCATCAACAGGGTTCTCCGTAACGCTACTCGCAAGGTGGCGTAGGTGTTGTGCGTAAGCGTGAACGTCACGCTTGCCTTCCTTTAGTCTCAGGAGTGCAGAGCGTGATCTGAACTCGGATCGTGGCGGCTCAAACGTCTCTTTAAGCCGAGACTACAAGATCTTTAACGACTCAAACACGTTTGGGTCGTGAAGCTTGAGGCCCTAAGGCCTAAGTCTTTGCTCGTCCTGTCAAATTTTACAGGGCAAAGGTGACTTGCATCTCGTCACCCTGGATGTGATGGGCCCTGATGGCATTGTCTAACACGTCGAACCATCTCAAAAGGGATTCTTCATCGGTTCTCTTGTATTCTGTAGCAAGACTATCTTCTGTCTTTCAATGGCAAGTCCCCCTTGTAGGAATTTGTTGATTGCAGCATGTTGCTGGTCTTTGCTTAGAGACTCCAACATGCCACTGATAGCGGGTTCGCCCATGAGCACAATCATGCGGCCGACTACCTCCCTTTCTGAGTCACTCAGATGAGAGTAGCCTTCACGTGTGACGTGAAAGCTGTCGTCTTCTACGTCCAACATGTTCATGTTGAACGGACACTAAGTAGTCGTTGGAACGACTACGAAGTGTAACAAGGTTTAACGGGGCACCCTTTGTTTGGGGTGCCACGAAACTTCACGTACAACAGTACGTGCAGAGGAAGCTAATCTACTCAACAAATAGGCTGAGTAAAGGTGAAAAGAGAACTGCATACAATATAGTTGCGCTATCAACATTACTTTAATCTTTATCGAACTCTATTGAACTACGTCGTCGTATGACGACAACCTGCTCACCACTCATTGCGCGCGTCTGGCAGCGATTAATGGTAATCCATGGTTGAAATGTCTTGTATCAACCAATCTATGAGCAGCGCACGAATATTACCCTAAAAGGGAAAAATAGTCCTTCGATAGTATCCATCTCGGATATAATGGGTAGGGAATTGTCATGCTAGACAAGATTCCTATTGACACCATTTGGTGTCAATATCATGTGACGGGCTACCCCGTCACATCTTTACAACAATATCGGGTATGACTTTTGTAACGGGGCACCCTGAAGCTTGTACTGGTGACAGTACAAGCTACTTATTCTGATGACAGAATAAGGCGGTGCCTCGGAACTTCACGTACACTCGTACGTGCAGAGGAAGACGGTAAGAAGAAGCGAGTACTTGGTTAAAGTAAAAAGTAGAACTGTATTTATAATAGTTAATGTCTGCAATAAATCACTATTTATCTTCATCTAACTATGTCTAAATACAAATGTGCATATCAACTATCTGCTCACCACTCATTGCGTGCGTCTGTCGTGGCGCGTCTTCGTTGGTTGATATAATGGCCTATATCAACCAATTAGGAACTACTCGTAAGTGCTACAGAATAGTTGTCCTTATGACAATATTCTGAGAATATAACTCTTATAGTTATATTCTATAAACAATTTCTTATAAATTGTTATGTAACGATTCACCCCGTTACATCACCCCCCCCCCTAACCATCGGTCACTTTAGTGACTGATTGACTAAATGGATACTCGTCCCATATCATTTAGGACGGGGTTTGCACTTGTTAATCCGAGTCCACAGTCCATCAGTTTCATCGCATGGTAAACAAGCCCATGCGGTGCGCGAACAAGGCCGCCGAGAGCGCGTCCGCACGTCTCTGTGCGGACGCCGAAGCAGAAACTACAGCAACTGATGTCCCATCGGTTGCTGAATCGACTCAGCCTGTATCACCTGGTGATGCAGGCGCTGGTCATGAAGACACTCATGTCTTCACAGAGTATGAGCTCGGTGTCTCATACTCTCCTGATACGGAAGACGGATCCGTATCGACGGCGATCGAATCCAAGCCGCCTGCCAAGCGTGGCATGGATGATGCTATGCGTCGCAGCATCTTTGGTTCATCCGATGAATCAGATGAACCATCGCCGAAGCGTAGGCGCTCGAGGTCGCGAGACTCGGGCGCTAATAGTGGTGTCGTTTCTCCAATGGACACCACTTCACAGCGAGGTGCCAGTACTTCTGTCGGCGCATCGCAGGAAGAGCGGGACCGCAATGTCTTGCGTCTAGCTCCTGAGATGAAGGCATGGATGCCTCCAAAATCTGTCATGGATCACTTGTCGGCGACGACGAATGATCGTTATCGAACACGATTGTTCGATTCGTCAAGGATCCATCACCTTGACCCCAGCGCGAAGAACTATCGCGCTGAGAATGAATTCTTCATCGATGCTTTCTTTAGACATCGATGGTACAGTGGGAATCACAAGCGTGATGGTCCCTCACTGCTTCAGGCGTGGAACGCCTACATCCATAACTTTGAGGATGTAGGTCGTGACGCTTGGAACGACAAACTTATCAAAGCTCCTGATGAGTTTGAAAAGCGAACCCTGACAGGTGCACGCTACAATCTGCATCGTCTGTTAAGGGAGAAATGGTTACCCTGCCTCTCTTGGGGAGACTCGTGCCCATGTTGTGTGAACAACTCTGCACGAGCACCTAAGGAGGCTTACCTCCTTACCAGCCCGTGGTGACGCGTACGTATCTCTACTGAGATGTACGAAGGGATTGACAACCTGAATCCCTTAACGACCGTGCCGGGAAGACTTTCTCCGGCGGTCCTTCTGCGGCACAGGATGTGCCGCGTCGTACTGCACAACCAAACCCAGTACGTCAATCATCAGTTGGGAGCGGGGCTCCCAAGTATCCCAGGATGGGGGATAGCCGCGCCACCGGACGAGATAACTCGTCTGACGTCCGTTCAAGTCGCGGTGGTTCAACAGCTGCTCAACTAGATAGCGCTGGCCACCGCGGGAGTCCTCTAATGGAGGTGGAGGAGGAGGAAAGACGCTCTCCACACGATCATGGGGATCCGTGTGTTCCCGAGAACTTCTTTAATCGCGTAGCGCAAGGGTTACACGACGATCTCGAGCATGAGCGGGACAGGCGTCTCCAACTGGCGGACGCTGTCTTGAAGCATTGAGCTGAGTTTGCCTTTGCTCAGCTTGAGAACGAGAGAGCTCTGACATCTCTTCGTGACGAGCTAAGGGTAGCTCGTGGGATTGTTGATCGGTCTCGGGATGAGATAGCTGCTCTTCAGACCCTTGTCGATGCCCACCATCGGGAGCACAAGGCCCATTGTGAGATGCTTGAACGCAAGGGCGTTCTTCATCGAAAGAAACAGCGTACTGATGGTACGGCTTAAGCCGACCAACGTAAAATGTGGGATGCGTTAGCATCTTACGTGGCAACTCGATCGTGTATGCATTGCCTAGGAGGTGCAATACACGAAATGGGCCAATGTACTTGGGTAGTAGTTTACTGCTACCCAAGTTAGTCACTACATGTTTTGATAGATTAACCGTAGACAGTAGGACTAAGTCACCGTTTTTAAATAAAAGAGTGTTTGCCCTTCCATTCTTGTCAGCGTTTTGCTTCGGCTTATCCACCGCTTCGGCGATGGAATCTTGCACAAAACGGACTACCGTTTCACGAGCCAGTATGAACTCATCTGATGACTCGTTAGCTTCAGTGCGATGTGAGTGCACTGCAGCAACATCAACCTTTTCTTCAGTGAGGGCTTCCGCACTCTCACTGGCATCATCTTCTTCGAAATCGATGTTATCGACATTGGCATCAAACGCAATGACCTCTTCGTCAGAGCGTGATGAGCATGAACCAAATCGGTTTTTCCTCGCGCGAGTCCACCCCCCCTTATACCAGAGTTACACTCTAGTAAGGTGGGTACACGCGGATGGCGTAAGCCATTCACGTAAAACGGTGTATGTGTAGTGGACGCATGCACCGAGTTGTAAATGGCAAACTTTACCATGGGCAAGAACTCACTCTAAATCTTAAAGGAGTGTACGTATCCTCGAAGTATCTCTTCAAGGACACGATTGGCACGTTCCGTCTGACCATCTGACTCTGGATGATCAGATGTTGACATCTTCAAGAGCGTTCCGAGTGATTTGAACACGGAACGACAGAAATCAGCAGTGAATCGTGGATCTCTGTCTGATACGAGTTCACGGGGCAACCCATGAAGTCGGAAGATGGTGTCAATAAAGACACAAGCACAGCCACTTGCCGTGATTGACTTTGGTACAGCCACAAGGTGTACCATTTTGCTGAATCTGTCAACAAATACGAGAATACCCGTATTCCCGCGTGCGTCTTTCGGTAACCCGAAGACGAAATCCATTGAGATGGATTCCCAGCACTCAGCCGGAACCGGTAGAGGCTGTAAAGGTGCACGCAGTGAAGGACTTGACCTCACTCGTTGGCAGACTTCGCATGCGCGAACATACTTTCGCACAAACTGATACTGGCGGGGCCAGTAAAAGTCTCGACTTACCGTGAGATATGTTTTCTCTCGGCCACGATGTCCTCCTATAGGAGCATCGTGATACTCGAACATGATCCGCGAACGCAGATCAGTATCATCTGGAATGACAACACGTGGTGTGTCACCAGAAACGGCTGTATAATACAGTAAACCGTTACGAGTAGTGTATCGATCTGATGCATATCGATACGCAGACGACAATCGTTTCAACGATTCTCGAGATGGTTGGGAGAGATGTGTCAACAGCTTCACTATCTCACCATCTTGGGCGTATGCCCGCCTCACATCATCATACAACGTTGTAGATGGGACTGAGGACGTCATAACCGCAACAGTGACTGTCTCACTGTTGGGTTTCGCGACTGTTTCAAAGTCGGGACGACGTGAGAGTGCATCAGCGACGACATTAAGTCGTCCTGGTTTGTACTCGACCGTAAAGTTGTATTCCGCAAAGAATGAAAACCACCGCGCCATTCGTTGTGAAAGGTGCGGGCTGTTCACTGCCGCGCGTAATGACGCATGGTCAGTGTAAACAACGAAGGGTCTATCTCCTAATAGATAGACTCTGAACTTCGCGAGTGCATACTTCATGGCAAGGAGCTCCTTGTCATGCACTGGATAGTTCCGCTCAGCTGGTTGCAGCTGACGCGACTGATAGCAGACGACGCGTTCAACGCCTTCAAGATCGTACTGCATTAATGCACAGCCGATTGCGAAATCGCTGGCATCACAGACCACATGAAATGGCCCGTCCTGATCGGCTATTGCTAGGACTGGGGATTGTATCAAGCTCTGCTTGATACCCTCAAAGGAGCGCTGACATTCAGCGTTCCATAACCGCCTCTCGTTCTTTTTCAACAAACGAGAGATGTGTATAGTCATCTCGGCGTAATTGCGTGAATACTTATGCAAATACGCCGCTAGCCCAAGGAATTTTCGAAGACCTTTGACATCGACCGGCACAGGCCAGTCGGTGATCGCCTTGATCTTTTCGGGATCAGGACGTACACCGTTCTTACCAACGATGCATCCAAGAAGTGGTATTTCGCTTGCTGCAAATATACACTTCTTGAGATTAGCATACAATTGATGCTTTCGCATGATTGTAAGAACCTGTCGGACGTGGTACCTGTGGACCTCAACGTCCGACTTTCCATCCATAGCCCGACTATGGATGAATACGTCATCGAAATAACTCGGCGCGAATTCTCGTACTGGTCTCAACAGATGTGATACACATCTGTTGAACGTGGCAGGGGCATTACTAAGCCCTTGTGGCATTACTAGCCATTCCCAGAGCATGCCGCTAGACGTGCTAGCTGCGGTATAGGGTATATCCCGTTCTCGCATTAGGATTTGATAGAAGCCATCCATCAAATCCATGGACGAAAAGATGGTACTCTTTGACATACCATCAACGATTACGTCCTTCCTTGGTATCGGCGTCTGAACCGGTACCGTTGCAGCATTCAACTTGTTAAATGCATGCACTATCCGCCACCCTCCTGTTGCTTTTCGCACACAGAAGGTCGGAGAGCTACGTGGGAAAGTTGATTCCCTCACATGGCCCGCTGCTAAACGATCGGCAAAGAACTTGTCGATCGAAAGTACTTGTTCACGAGGCAGTGGCCACTGCTTCATGACACAGTACTTCGAGCCTGGTTTAAGCTCGACCTCGTGTCGAATACCTTTATCCTTCGGTAATTCGCACGGAACAGTTTCAGGGAATACATCCTTGAATTCAACCAAATCTTCATAGAGAGGATTTGCCTTGAGCGATTCCCATGATTGGGAGTCATATCGCTCAATTCTTGTCTTTTCATCTAGGACACTCTCGTCCATAGATGAACTACTGAGAACTCTCTCGTTCTCAGTGAACACTGTTGCTGACATTATGTCGGTTACACACTCGTCGTCAGCGACGAGTACGCAGATCTGCTTGACTTTGCCACTACGCAGATCACGCAAGAACCTTTTATGTTCGAGCGTTGGCAACTGAGTGATCTCCGAAGTTAACTTCGGAGGCGCAATCAGATCAAGTGTATAAGCGCCTACACTTGATCCGTTATTGACTATGACATTTAATGTCTCTGTCATTTCCTGGGGACTTATTCCCTCAGGCTTCGAAGGACTTATTCCTTCGGCTTCCCGGGGACTTATTCCCGCGGGTTTCGGGAACTTATTTCCGCCGTATTTGTAATATCGGGACTTATTCCCTTAACTTCCTCTAGCTGGGGTTGAGCAACCACAGCGAGATCCTCTACGAAAGACTCTCCAGTCGATCTAGGATTATCGTTTCGCTTAACCTGAGCGATCGATTGTTTCTCTTCTAGATGTTCCCCGCTAGGGATACATCTTTGTCCCGGTCCACTCGACTTATTCGAGTGGTGGATCTTCGGCGCAGCCTGTGTTTCCTTACAGCCGCCGGAACTTTGCTCCGAAGTGTAACCGTTTGTTACACTAAGGTTTTGTGCAGTCGTACTAACGACCGTACCACAAGTGAGGCCATCGCACTCACTCGTAGTACATCCACACGCTTGTGGACGCTCCAAAACGTTCATCAGATGGCCATCTGATGAACAAGCGGCAGGCATCGTTGCTGTTCGATGTTGCCAGTTTACTCGTGGTTCGTACCTTCTGAGCCACGGTATTCCAAGGATGACATCAAATTTGTCATCCAAATCCAATACGATAAAGTCATCGTCATATTGGGTATCTTCTAGCGTATAGTGGATCTTCACTATACGCTTCATGACGGTTACGGATGCGCCTGTCGCAAGACGTACCGTCATCCTCGTAGGAGGTGTGTCACATTCACTGAACTTAAAATGATTATCTTCTAGCGATTGGCGTTGCATAAAATTGTTGGACGCCCCACAATCGACTAGAGCTCGAAGGGACAACTTATTCGTCACTTCGAGTTTCAAGGTAATGAGTGAGACCTCATTACCTAGAGCAGCAACGCACAACGTTTGTGTGTTGGGAGCAACCTTCATCAAGAGGCCTACTAATTCTCTTTTTGACGTTGCTAGACCAGTAGGGTGCTCCGCACCTACTGATCCTGTCCGTTTTTTGACGGTCCATCCCGTTGTTGCGTCTTTGCACCAACTGCGGACACTCGTCCCTGCCCCTTTCTCATGGGTGGACGGTCACTACGCCCAGTGTCGCGAGACACTGGACGAGGGGCACTACACTCGTAAGCGTAGTGTCCTGTCTTTTGACATCTGTTGCATTTCTACAACTTCTTGTAGTCTGTAGAGCGAGCCTTCTCGCTCTTTACATAACAGAGTTCCATCGGCTCTGGACCTCCGCTGTCATATCGTCTCGGTGGACGATATGATGTCGAGCTGGCGCGAGCCTGTCTCAGACTGAAGTATTCCTGTTCCGCAATGGAAATGGCTTGTTCTAGTAAATCTAGTTCAAGTCCGAACAGGTGAGTCTTGACGGGACCATCCGCAAGACCCTGCATGAACACCGAAACCAACGTGTGTTCATCCACCGGATTGGAACTTATACAACTCGTGAGATGTCGTATATGTTGAGCGTAAGCGTGCACATCACGCTTACCCTGCTTGAGCTTCAAGAGTTCGGTTCGAGCTCTGAACTCAGCTCTAGGCGGTTCAAACGTTTGTCTG